CAAGATCGGCACGGATGATAATGTGGCCGATCCTTTGACTAAACCTTTGCCTCAAGTGAAACACAACAAACACATTGAGGCAATGGGAATCAAGCACGTTGGAGAATTGCTTTGAAAATTCCATGTACATGTGTTTTAATTAAACTGGTTGTTTTAATGTAAGACATTGTATTGAAACCATTCTTTAATGGAGTAATTAATTTTGTGCAAAAGTATCGTTCACTCCATTACTATTTAATTGTGGTTTAGAATTAAATAATGAGTCCATTCGATTTATGGTAATATTCAAAACAGGGTATCAAGACCATGTCTTGGATAAAGAAACACCTATTAAGTGAACATTGAATATTTAAATCAAAAATTATCCCTAATCAAGGTCATCTGACTGATGGACGATTGATGACCACCAAAGATTAGTGTGTAGTATGATTTACAACACCGTTTCTTGTGCTGCAAGGACATGATGGTCATAAATCATTTGCACAGGTGTCAGTTTAGAACTGCACTGGATCGACCTATGAGAGTACTTTAAGAGATTCAAAATTGTCATAAGTACATTTCTCATTATAGCTATCAGAACTCATTTCCTCGACCATGAGTGCAATGAAGTTTTCTTGTTTGAGAACTAGTCTCTTTGATGTTGCCTAACGTTTGTCGTAACTGGGGATCATAACGGGAACACTCGGGAGATTAGGTCCTCTTAGTAAGAGAAACTTACAGTACAAGACTGAGAATGTCCCCCTATCAAAAATAGGGAATATGTCTTTGTTGTTTACAAGGCCGCTCGAAGAGCGAGACTGTGAAAATGCATGGCCGTGCTCAGATGGATTTTAGAAATCATCTTCTTATTGACAGTCGAACTCAGAAATCGAGAAACACTTCTGAACGTAATAAGTATGATGATGAATCTTACCTTATAGTTCACGAACATTAAGCGACATAGGAAATGGGCTATACACTATATACACACTTGTCCGGAAGGACAAGTGGGAGATTGAAAGGAATGGTGTCCTTCCAACAAGTGTAATATTCTAATAGAGGGTTCATAATTATTACAGAGCTAATTCTTCAGTAAGGCCAAGTTATCGGAATGCCTAGGTAGAGGCCGCTTCCGATCAGTAATATTAAGGTATAATTAATATTACAGCTTAATCTCAACTGAACCCTTCGGGTCATACCCAATCGAGCAACCAATCCGAGACGACGAATTAATCTGAAGAATTTAATGAGTCGACGGAGTTTTACAAATACAGACGTCGGATATCGAGCCTAGGGCGTCGAGGCCGAACGTCGCAAAATCACAAGCGACAAGTATGAGCGTAGCCGTAGCGTCGCAGTGGCCTAGCCATGTGGACTGCTAGACTAGGTTGGCTCAACATGAACCTAGGTGCACCATGGTGTGCTAGGCGCACCATGCGTGCCAAGGGTGCGTAGGCGCCATCGCAGCCCTAGCACCATGCCTATGCGTCATTGCAGCCCTAGCATCATGCCTAGGCGCCATCGCAGCCCTAGCACCACGCACAGCACCATCGCAGTGCTAGGCACATGCTTGTGTGCGTTTACGTGTGCACCATCGCCCAGCATCAAGCCCAGCATGCGAGGCTCGCTAGCAGCACGCATGCTAGGCCTTGCGTGCGTGAGGGGCTGGCTGGCATGGTTGTACATAGCTGCGTGTGTGCGAGGGATTGCGTGGGAATTCTAGGCCAGCGCCAGCATAGCTTGCTAGCAGTGCACAACACTAGCACGCAGCACTAGTGCCTAGTACTAGCACTAGCACTAGCACGCAACAGCAACACAAGCATCGCCCAGCACAGCGCGCATATGCTGGCTGGGTGATGCGGGGCTTGCTGGCTGGTGCTAGCTGGCATGCCTAGCTGGCTGCCAGCCTAGCATGTTTGGTGGCGGTTTGAGGGATTGAGGACCAAAGGCTTGGAGCATGCCTTGGGGAGCAAGAAATGGTCCCCCCCCCCAAGGTTCATGGTCCTCACCTAACTCTCTCTTACCCCTTGACACTTGTTGCATTGTGATTGATTTAATTATTAATTTAATTTGGAATTAAATTAATCATCAAAATTATTCATTCTCCCACATTGGTTGGGAAATAAAGATCAAGGGTTCATTTCCCTATAAATACCAAAGTTTGGGTATTTGGGAAAGAACACACTTGAGTGGAAAAGTAAAGGCAACTTCATTGTTGAGTATACCTTGAAATTCGTAAAACTCCAAGTTTTTATTTGTCCGGGCCTCGACTAACCTTCGAGGCTTAGGACGCTCGGGTCGGGTTCGAGGGTACGATCCCGTCGGAGGCCTCGTGTTTTCGAGGTTCAAGTAAGAGCTCATAGTTGAGCGAAGCACGCGTCAAAGGTATAATCTTTTATTCTTAATTATGTTTTAATTATGTTTTGCTTGTTAATTGCATTTATTATGGGGGCGGGTCTTGGCGGGTTTCTTTCCGCGTAGTGTGGGTCACTACGAAACCCAACACGTAGTGCATGAAACAGAATGCTTCCATCCGAAAGTACCCGAGACCTCCTACTTTAAAAGGAGTTAGGAAAGGGTACTCCGGATGGAAATCTATTCCAGTGATGGGATTTTCAAGCCCTCCACGAGCAATTGTGGCTGACTGGTGGACGAATATCATTTCTTTACCTCTTTTGGGGAGGTAAAAGTCTCGAACAACACCATTTGCGTTGTGATACCCATTTTTTTCATGAATTCTAACCGCTTTATAGGGCGGCTTGGGCTTTTATCCACGACCACTCCCTATCAGCCATCACTCTCTTATTCCTTTGGATACCCATTTTTTTTTTTTTGGCAATTTCTGTTACTCCAAGGAAAGGAAACCAGTCACGAGCTATACTTGCCCCCCTTTTTATACTCGCAACTATGAGCATGCGTTAAGTTCACTCCCAACTACTTTGTATTAGTTCTGTTACTTAAAGTGGTACAAAAAGTGTACCATTAGGTTAAGTGTTCCTGTATATTTGTGACTATAAATTATTCCACTGGAACGAATGTGTGTTTCTTTTGAAACGACATCTTTGTGCCATAGTACTGGACTTAGGCCACGTAGATTGCAACAGGGTGAACATTCAACATTCACCACCGTAACTGAAGGTAAAAATTAAAATAATACATACAGTGGTACATGTAATTGAACCGAATACAAAGTCAAACATACTACCAGTGACTATCTTGTACCATTAGCCAGATTTTGTGCTTCTTTTGACAAGACAACTCCTTGAGGAACTGCTTCTAGGGAACTGCCATTTTCGTCACCCGTCATTTCAATATGTCAGAGCATAATGGTACATTTCATGAACGATAAGTGTACCACTGCCAGCTGTTCGAACTTATTTTTAGACAACTTTGCGTGATTTTATGTTTGTCCTTGTAAGTTAAGTATACTTTAGAGCATCATTAGTGAGAAGCATCTTAAATGGGGTTCTTATTCTTTCTCATGCTCTCCTATGCCACATCATCACCAACTCCTACTAAGATTCACCCTTTATGTAATCTAAGAAATGCACTAGTTCTTACTAATATTTTTCATGCAAACTCCTTTGTGTTAGTTCCGTTACGTGTAGTGGTATAAAAACTGTACCACTAAATCTTTACGTTAAGTGTGCTTGTATGTTTGTGACTTTAAAATGTTACACTGGAATGAATGAGTGTTTCTTTTAAAACGATAGTTCTTTTCCATAGTATTGGACCTACGCCATGTAGCCTGCAACAGGGTGAACATTCAACATTCACCACCGTAACCGAAGGTAAAAATTAAAACAATACATACAATGGTACATTTAATTCAAGCGAATACAAAAGTCAAATGTACCACCTAGTAATTATCTTGTACCATTTCCCGGACTTTGTGCTTCATTTGACAAGACAACTCCCTGGGGAACTCATGCACCAGGTTAAAAAAATTTCAAAGCATTTCATCATAACAAAAGTAAGTTTCCAACCATACTCTCCATCCATTGCCTTCCATTTCTCATTTCAACTCATCTCCATCCCCTTCCCCGATTACAAGGTACTCAAATGTCCAGAAATACCGTTGTCAAACACTCTAGCTTAGGTCATCAAATGTTACCCCACCCAAATCAACCAATATTGTACTTTAAAAAAACCTGAGGGGGGTGTCCGAAATAAACCTGAATTTAGTGAAGTATTTTAGGAACACCTAAAACCTTTACAATGGGATATACCAGCCTGTGCAATCCATTAGAGCACATCTCCTCCAATCAATGTGCTGCCAAACTGATTGCATGCAATTACAAGATGGCAAGCCGACTTCGGGACACCTTCCTCTTTTAGAGGACTTGGTGGGTTTCTACGATGAGGGAGCTTGTGTCATGTTGTATTGGCTCATCGAGAGGTTCTATTCCTCGTCGTCCCCACTTACACTACCACCTGAGATAGAGGAAGCAATTAACTTAAGCCCAATCTTAACACGGACTCCATAGTTGGTTACAATTTCCCCACGCTTTGGCGCCACATATTTGTTGGCTCATTCACGGATACCCTCCACCTCATGACGGTCGATACTACTAACACCCACCTGAGGTTCTAGGTTGAAGGTTGTACCTTTAATCCGAGGCTTAACCGTCGCTGGCCCATTCGTAAACGCTACCACCATGTTAGCTATAAAGGAGAACATATTTTCTCAACCAAAGAGTATGGCATAGTTGATCGGGGGTCGCTCATTCTATTTTGGAACGCCCGAGGGTGCACACACTAGTAGAAAAAATTAAATAGGCACCCCCCTATAGCACCGGTTCTTGAAAACTGGTGCCAAAAATAAATGGGCGGGACTTAAAAATTCAGAGTTGGCACCGGTTCTAACCAAAACCATTGCCAAGCATTTAATTAGCACCGGTTCAAACCGGTGCCAACTTATGGAAAAAAAAAAAAAAAAAAGTATGGGAAGGAGTTGGCACCGGTTCTCCTTAAACCGGTGCCAACTATGGTATTTAGCACCGGTTTAAACCGGTGCCATTTTTGAAAAAAAAACCGGGCGAAATAAAAAAAAAATCGGGGTATTCATTTCTCTGCTTCTTCTTCTTTCTTTCTTTCCCTCCTGCATTTCATTTTCGTTATCCCTAACTCTCGTTTTCGCCCTTCTCTTAGCTTCGACCACCTTTCTCCATATTTCTCCTCCATTATGCGTGCTCATAGTTCTCCATTGAAGAGCATTCTAAGCTTTGTCCATATCACTCCTCCACTACGCGTACTGTTAAAGCGGATTCGAGCTTTCTCACCTTCATTGAAGCAGCTTCGAGGTAAAAATTCGTTTTTGTCCTTTTGTTTTCGCAATCTAGGGTTTGTCGTTTATTTGATTTTTGAATTTAGGGTTAGTTTTTGTAAATTAGGGTTAGTTTACTACTGCAACCCTCTTAATTTCGATTTGGGTTCTCTGGGTTTGGGTTTCACTTTGGGGTTTTTCTAGATTAGACTTTCTTTTAGGTAGTCAATGGGGAGGCAGTTTCATGGGGGGTCTAGGGGTTTCTTGGGTGGTTAGGGTGGCTGCGGTGGTCGATTTTGACAGTTCAGATTACATTGATTATGGCACATCTGGTAAAATAGCAGGCTTCATTGCTGAAACAATTCAGGTTTACCTGTCTCTTTGTTTCGTGCTTCAAAAGTTACTTGCTTTTAGTTACTGTAACTCAATGGTACTTGTTATTTATGTTTAGGGTGTTGGAGGAGCAGTTGAATTAGCTCCTGGATATTTGAAGCTGGTGTATGATATGGTATGTAAGGCTGGAGGAGTCTGCATTGCTGATGAAGTTCAAACTGGATTTGGTAGAACAGGGAGCAAGTATTGGGGCTTTGAAACACAAGGCGTTATTCCTGATATATTGACAATGGCAAAGGTCTTTTAGTATACTCTAGCTGTAGTACTTATTTTGATTTAACATAATGTCTTTTATCTTACCAGAACTTAACATAATGCTGCAGGGAATCGGCAATGGCCTACCCCTTGGAGCAGTGGTGACCACACCTGAGATTGCTAGCGTATTGGCTCAGAAAATTCAATTTAATACTTATGGAGGAAACCCGGTGTGCTCTGCAGGTGGTCTTGCAGTCCTGAGGGTAATTGACAAGGAAAAACGTCGACAACACTGTTCTGATGTAAGGACCCGCCGCCACTCACCCTTCGCCGGCCACCCTCCGTTCAATTTCGTAAGTTACTCATGCTTCAACTGTATTACCTCCTTTTCATTCTCTAATTCCTTGTTTACATTTCACTTTAGCATTTCTGAACATTTTATTCTGGAATTTTTGTCAGGTTGAAATTATCTTAATTGTGATGAATTTATTGACTTACATTTTAGGTTAATTGTTTCGCATCATTGAAAAATAAGGACGGGAAATTTTATATTTTAGGTTGATTTTGTGCGCTTTGTTCTTTCTGAATCATAGTTTTGATTCTAATCATAGTTTGGGTTATTTATGTAACTTGGACTCTTCATTTCACTTCGAGTTCTCTTGTCGGATCCTCGGCATTGGAAATATTTGGAAACTTGGAAACTTACCTATCCAGTTGTAATAAATTTATGAACTGCAAGAAGTGTTTTGATTTTTTGTTGCAAATTTGAAAATTTTCGGGCTGACATGTATGTGCGAAGTAACGTCATGTATGATCTTGGTGATCATTACTCAAACTTTGACAACTTACTTATCTTCCACTTCTAGTCACTTTACCATATTCTAAGAAGTGCAAGTATTATTTAGGCTGCATCATTTACATTACTAAGGAGTTGTATTTAGAGTGGATTTTTACTGGAGCTTTTCTTCATTGTGACATGCTTGGAAAATCTAAAAGAAAATATCCCGGCGCAGAATTTTTGTATCTGGTCTGTCCATATAGGTTCTTCTAAGATTTTCTGTCACTCAGTTGGGTTATATATATATATATATATTCACTTAAACATGAATTGTGCTGGTAGTTAAGGTAAACACTTTGCTCCTTAATTTGGTTTTTTATTTATTTATTTATTTATTTTTTTTTTTTTTTGTGACAAATTAGAGCTATTATAATTAGTTTGAAATAGTAGGAGCCCCTATTTTGACGAGCTCAGCACCAACTTTTTGTTTGTTGATCTCTTAAACTTGTGTACGGTTTTGACCAACTTTTGATGATTGGTTCATATGCAGTTTCACGTGATGATGTTTATAGTTGGGAATGCAGTAGTCTTGAATCCTTAGCATTCTTATGTATTTCTCATCCAGAAAAGTAAAAAGGAAAAGGCTCTTTTCTTTCGTTTCTACATGCTGCAGATTTCTGTTTAAATATATACTGTTGGGATTCTTGTGAGGGAGGAAGATGTTTGAGTCATTTAGTCATGCTTATCCTCCTACTTGTTGGGAAGAAAAACTAAAGACAACTCACTTTCCTGAGATGATATTAGGAAACAGTTCTTTAATTCTTAAGCATTTAGCTAGTGGCACTAAAATTCATTTCAACGCATTTGATGCTCGGCTGGAAGCAAGAAGCCTTACCATCAGTAGAAGTTCCTGCTGCAGCAAAATGGAAATTCAGAAGGTTAGCTGAATTATTAAATTTGAGATCTCATGTATCTTTAAATGCCTAAAAGACATAACAGTTCAATTTAACATGCCCAGTAAATTATGAGCAATCATAGCACACCTCAACCTAACTTTTGAATAGGTGCTGATTGCTGAGTATATCTGGGCATCTTTTGAATTGTTTGGAATTTTTTTTCTTCCTATTTTCTGGTTAAGGAAAAACATTATGATCATCGTGTTGCTTCTACTTGAGTATCCTCTTCTGTATTCCTGCTGTCACTGGGCTCTCTTGTATTCAGGACTTGTGGTTGCCATTGGTCTATTGCTTTTGCACTTTGCCCCTGTCATATATTTCACTTCTTATAATAAGAATGTTATATGTAACTAAATCAAGAAGCAGATTACAACTCTAAACCACATGTCTTCCTCCAAAACTATCTGTGTGAAATAACTCACAGGTTTTACATGATATAAGGAACCCTCATGTTATTGCTCATAATGGCTACATCTCTTTTCTTGCATTGTAATTGAATGCATATTTTATTCCTTCTGCGGGTTATGGGGAAAGGCATGTTGGTTATCATTTCCGATTCTAGAAAGCTCTCTTTTCTAACATTTTGTAATGAAATGCACAGTAACTACTCTCATCTAGAGCCTTCCTCTATGAATTCTCCTCTGCTTTGTAATTGAAAAATTGGATGTATTTATAGTTTCTCGTTGTGTGAACTAATTATGGTTTAGTTGAATGATTTGTATTTGTGCTTCCGCTGACTGATTAGGTTCTTTCCAGTGACTCATGTTCAACTTTCAATCCCTGGCAACTCAAGACACCAGATTGGTAGAATGCTTGCTGTTGGTGCCTTGTAAGTATAATCCGGATGTTTTGCCACTTTTATGTCTTTGGTTTATAGAGTTTTTATCATGAAAACAAATTTGGGAGGGAACGCACAGGCTGACTATGAGAAATTGTGATATTTTTCTTGACTTTTGGTGTTGATTTTAACAGTATCTCATATCTAATTGGATGAGCATGAGTCTTTCTAATTCCATTGTTAGCTTTGTTTAGTGAAGGTTTTTAAGACAAATTTCTGTATCCATTTGATTTTTTATTCAATTCATTTAAGACAAATTCATGCTTGGAGCCCTACTACTGAAATTGGTTCCTCAAACTACATGACTGAGAATAACTTTACTGGGATCCTAAGCAACAATGAATCCCTCAACCCAGGTACTTATTTCTTTGACTTATTGCTTGCTTCGTTTGTTATGAATTTACGGGACTTTATACTATAAGTCTATCATTATGTACTCATTGTTAAAGGCAAGTTGCTATATACGCTCATCCTAGTAAGTGCTTCAATTCGACTACGTGCACTATGATCATACTCCAATTCTATCCATAATAATGTTTATAGGCCAGGTTCTTGCTGGAAGTTGTTTTGCAAGCTTATTAGTAACTAAAATGACATGTCCAATGTGAAATATAACCTTGAATTATACCAAGTATAATCATAGACATGTTATTTTTCTTTTCACAATATTAATTCAAAATATGCTTCATATTATGTCGATCACAGACTTCTACAATTGGAACCGCGTTATGCTAAGATACTGTGATGGAGCTTCCTTTGCTGGCAATTCCTTGTACGAAAATGGGGTAAATATATTTCAGCCTGAACTCTTTTCAGATCTGTTTTTTGTACAATTACAGAAAATGATTTTTGTTCTTTCTTTCTAATTTTTGCATATGTTAACATTGGACAGACCTCATCGCTTTACTTTAGAGGGCAAAAAATTTGGCACGCAATTATTTATGATCTTCTTCCACAAGGGTTGGCACATGCAGAGAAGGTAGATTACTGAGATAAATTTCTAAGATTAACTGTAATAAAGCCTCTAAAATGTTAACCTTGCGTAAAGCATAGGCATAAGACATTTACGCGTACTCTGATCTGCACTCTGCAGGCTTTGCTTTCTGGCTGCTCGGCAGGGGGTTTAGCAGTGTTTCTGCACTGTGACAACTTCTCCAGGTCTCTACCTGGAAATGCTTCTGTCAAATGTATCAGTGATGCTGGTTTTTTCTTAGACGTGTGAGTCATCTTATTTACTCTATGTCCTACAAATTTTCGCCTTCTGTTACCCTACCCTATGTTTTCTGATTTCAGACCTTTATCATGCTTGCAGAAAAGATGTAGCCAACACTGACACAATTAGAACCTTATACCATGATGTCGTTTCTCTTCGAGGCGTTGAACAAAATCTCAACTAAAACTGCACCAGTTCTCAAATCGATCCTAAGCAAGTATGATTACGCATATTGCTTGAAATATTCACATAATAATTTGCTTGCTTTTGATCACATTATAATAAGGTTCTGATCTAATTTTTATCAGTGCTTATTTCCACAATATTTCCTGAGTTACATCAAGACTCCGATGTTCATCTTAAACACTGCATATGATACATGGCAGGTACTGCTGCATTTCTTAGTTTCTGTGTGTTTCTTAAATCTATTGAACTTATCTGCTGTATAAGAATTTTCTAAATTTTTCAAGGTTTTGATTATGTACTTTGGCAGTTTTATAACATCTTGGTACCATCTTCGGCTGATCTCTGTCAGTGTTCGGAGTTTCTGACCTGATGCTGTGCTTTCGTTTTTTCTGGGTTGCATTGTTGTGTTGTGTCTTGGAGCTGCTGCGTTCTTGTGATGCTGAGTTCTTGTTTTCTGGGTTGCCGAGGTGCTGGTGCAGGCTGTGTTTTGGGGCTCTGTAGGGAGCTTCTATCTGGCTGCTGTGTTTTCGTTCTTCCTGATTATGCAGTGCTGTGTGTTGTTGTGATGTGGATTGGAGCTGTTGTGTTCCTGTGTAGCTGAGTTCTTGTGATGCTGGTTTACTAGGGTGCTGGTGCAAGCTGTGTTCCTGGTCCTGTGCTGACTTTGCTTGTTGATGCTTTTGATTAGTTGGCTGTGCATGGTCCTGCTCAACTGGCTGCTGCTATTTTTTGTCATGTTTTGCTGGGTGCTGGTTTTTATTTGTTGTGTTTCGTTTGGTGTTTGTTTACAGGTTGTTTTTTTTAGGAGGTCGTTGTGTTTTAGTTGAGTTGGTCTTGCTGTTTACCTATTTTGTTGTAGTTGAGTTGGTCTTGCTGTTTGTGTATGAAAGTTAACAGAAATAATGAAAATACGTAACTTTATATATATGTTAATGTTTCTATATCAATTTAAGTGAAAAAAATGCAAATTTTTTTTTTTTAATTTTTTTGTGGTATTTTTTGGCACCGGTTTTGACCAGAATCGGTGCCAAAAGTTTTTTTAAAATTTTTTTTTTCACACTTTTGGCACCGGTTCAAAGCAAGAACTGGTGCAAAAAACCCCACTTTAGGCACCAGTTCTTGCTTTGAACCGGTGCCAATAGTATTGAAAAAAAAAAAAAAAACGCGCCATAGTAGTTGGCATCGGTTTTGAACCGGTGCCAAATTTTCATGGATTTGGCATCCCTTAAATACCCAACAATTCAAAACCGGTGCCAAAGGGGGGGTTTGAACCGGTGCCTTTTTATCTTTTTCGTCTAGTGACAAGGCCCTCCTTTGCCGAGTACTTCGCAACCCTACACGAAAAATTTAACCCCATGTTGGTCATCATATATTGGAAGCTCGTATTGGTACACATGGCGCGAGCAATTGCGTCGTTCATAACCTCCCAGGTGAATACCAAGCAGAGATATGTGGTCCGGAGTCAAGGCCTGGTGGAGTTATGATGTTTTGAAACCAAATATGCTAAGGGCCATTTTCTTGCACAGATCAAGTCAGCAAACTAGGTTGCTTGTTGATGTTGTTTTCCAGGTAATTTGTTTGTTTTATATTATTGTTTGGAATGTAAGTTATTTAGCTAAATAAATGTTGTTTGCAATTACAGGCTCCACCTCCACCATCATGGCCTCCACAACAAGTTGAATTGAACAATGATCCGTGCAGCTCGGATGAGGAGGCAAAGCCAGGTAGTTACTACTTCAATTCTGGTTTGGCTTTTGATGGCTCCATCCACCACTGAGGATTTGGAAAAGACCTATGATGAAGATGCTAGGGATCAAATACTACTCAATGCTCTGTGTCTTTGTTTAATTAGTACTGTAGTTTTATTTGCCTTTCCCCAACACTATTTTTCTATATGCCTAAGACTATGTTTGATTATGCCTTCACTATGTCCGATTATGCCTTGACTGTTTAATGCATGTATTAGCTCTGAAGTTATTACGAATAGGGGGAACCTTGAATATTCCACTTAACTGTGTTAGTGGTACATTTAATTCTCCGAAAATGCACCACTGAAATCACGTTGGTATATTTAATCATAGTGGTACGTACCTATGCTGTGTACATAATACGTACCTATGATGAGTACATGAATAATGACCCTTTCCTATGCATCGTGTGTACATACTACGTTCCAATGCTATGTACATGAAGTCAATATGCAACTGCAATCAAAGTGGTACGTTTAATACTTTTAATTGTACAACTAGAAAACCAGTGCTGGGAGAATACTGACTCGTTCATAAGGGGCAACTAGTCCAAAACTTGGCATCTCAAGGAAGGGTGAACTGTAAACAGTGGTTGGATTACGTTCCATGTTTTGTTTGCGTTCCTTAGCATTATTCTATGAATTATGGGTTGTAATGTTCAATTGCGTTGCTGTTATTTTACTGAATTGCACTTCTATCCTAATTCATGAATACATTGATGGAGCAATGGTACAAACAACACCGTTTTAATGTACCATTGCAAGCACAAATGGCACTTGTACTATACCATTGCGAACTAAATTGTAAGAATATCATTTACATTCCACCAGTGGCACTTGCAATGTACCTATGGCACTGTACATTAAGTTTAAATTACCCTGTTCATGTAGATTGTAAAAAGTAATCAAGGTACAGTTGCTGCATAATCTACAAAATGCAACAAAACACCTAATGCAGACATCACATCAAACACTTAGCCATGAGTGGACAGACCACCTCCACAGCCAAAGCAACCTCTAATAGTTATCCCTGAGTGGACAAACCACCTCAGGGAGGAGTACGTTTGCTAGCAAGTGTTTAAATGTTTAATACACAGTACTTAGAGCCACCACAGTTCAACCCCAAAAAATAATTACACCATCGCCCAGGTATCAGTTTGGAACTATACCGGATCAACCTATGAGAATACTTTAAGAGATTTAACAATCGTCATCAGTATATTACTCATTTAGCTATCGGAAGCACTTTCCTCGACCATAAGTATTGTTAGTTCTCTTGTTTGAGTACTAGTCTGCTTTGATGTTGTCAAATGTCTGCCGTACAAGGGGATTATAAAGACAACAGTTGGGTGGCTAGGGCCTCTTAGTAAAGGAAGCTGACAATGCAAGACTGGGAATGTCCCCCTATTAATAGTAGGGAACATGTCTTTGTTGTTTACAAGGCCTCTCGAAGAGCGAGACTGTGAAAATGCACGGTCGTGCTTAGATGGATTTTAGAAATCATCTGCTTATTGACAGTGCAACTCGAAAATCGAGAAACACTTCTGGACGTAATAAGGATGACGAAAAATCTTACATTATAGTTCACGAAGAGACATAAAGTGACGTAGGAAACAGGCTATACACATATAGCACACTTGTCCGGAAGGACAAGTAGGAGATTGAAAGAAATGATGTCCTTCGAACAAGTGTATTATTTTGATAGAGGGTGCGAAATTAATTAGAAAGCTAATTATTCAGTGAGGTCAAGTGATCGGAATGCCTAGCTGGAGGCCGCTTTCAATTAGTAATATTAATGAATAATTAATATTACAGCTTAATCTTGACTGAACCCTTCGGGTCACACCCAATCGTGTAACCGAACCAAAGCGATGAATTAATCCGAAGGATTATATGAGTTAATAGAGTATTTACGAACAAAGACGTTGGATTCCGAGCTTAGAGTGTCGAAACCGAGCGTCGTAAGTCGAGTCGAATTTAGGAATTGACGAGACGGAAAAATCGGCCAAACAACAAGTCATAACGTATAGCCCAACCCTTGGAATGGTCGAGCCATCCGAGGGCTAAGGCAATATGGCTAGCAAAGGCTACCAACATGCGAGGCATGGCCGCAAGCCTAGCCGCAGCATACGCATGCTAGCTTGGGGAGTTGCGGCATGCCGAGATAGCTAGCATCTATTGTTGCATGCTAGCAGCGGTGGCTAGCTGGCACAGCATGCCAGCATCTCTGGCGCGCGAAGCGTACTAAGAAGCTTGCTGAGCCTCACTAGCTGCTATTAGCAGCATACACCCAGCAACCTGCAAGCATGCGTGGCTTGCTGGGCCGAACATGTGTGAGGCCGGTACCTTGGGGAGCAAGGGAAAGGTGGTCCTCCCCTTGTGGTCCTCACCTAACCCTTTCCTTTCCTTGCGCCACATATCGAATTGTGATTGTTTTGGCATTTTAATTTAATTTGGAATTAAATTAAATTTTTTTTTAATCTTTTTACTAACTATCCCACATTGAAAGATGATGGGAATTCTTGGGGAGATTTCTCTATTAATACCTACCATGGAATATTGGGATTTTCACTTGAGTTGGTGAACTTTAAGGGGTCTTCTAAACCAAAAAAACCTTTGTTTGTAAATTCTAAGTTATTTTTGGTCAAGCCTTGACTAAGCTTCGGGGTTGGGACCGGTTACAGTTCGGTAGCAAGGGTGTGAGCCGTTGGAGGTTCTCGCACTTGCGAAACTTGAATCTTTCAAGTTCGAGCTCACGGTTGAGCGAAGCACGCTACTAGAGTGAGAATTTTTTCTCTCTCTTCTCTTATGTTTATGTTTATTTGTATGCTTTTATTTATGTTGTAACTATTATGCATGCGATCCGGTTATCAGGTTTTGTTTCCACGCGATGTCGGACACCGCAAAACCCAACACTGTTTGCTTCGGAGGAGGTATAACACTTAAATAAATAACAAGACCACAACCTAGTAGAGCGGAGCTTCAATCGGAGTTGAACACTACCAAAAAACATAATCAAGCTCTTATAAATCGCTTGGACACCATACACGAGGAGAATAATGAACTTAAAGGTCGTATGGATTCATATGAAACACAGTTGAAGGCATTTAAAGATCTCCTGGTGCATAATTTTAATGTTTCCATTCCAGGAGAGAACGCTTCAAACTCGGATGAGGCTACTGCTTGATGGGTGTTCCACATCTCATTGCAAGATATTAATTTATTCTCCTTTTTTTTTGGGAAATTCCCTGTTTTTTATAGTGAGAAACGAAATTTGTTTCTCATGGGGGCATTTTTGTGAATAAATCAACAATTTTTTCATTATTGTGGGCTCCACAGTTGAATAAAGTTGTTGGTTTATTTACAAAAATACCATGTGTTTCTCATTATGAGAAACTGGGGCTCCTTTTTTTTTTTTTTTTTTGTTGCTACTGTTAAATAAAATAATTTCTTATTACTAGTTAAATCTAAGAATTAAAGCTACTCATGGATGTATGAATATTTTCATTTTGAATACATATTAATAGTATTCAATTTCGAAATATTGATTACTTTTTTTTATCTTAACTAAGTTATGATATTAATTGAACAATTAGGTGGCTTTTGAAATATATATGGCAGGTACTGTATAATGAAGAAACAATAACGATGAAATACGAGATTGTTGTTAAAAATATAGTTGTTAGATTTCAAATTTAACGATGAAATATGTAGTCGTTAATTGTAGTTTATAAACGACTAATAGCTGTAAATGATTTATTGACGATGACATATTTGGTCGTTATAAAGAGACACCGTATATTATATGGCTGTCAGGATGTTATTTAACAAGATTTACTAAGTCGTTATTAGGTGCCAATACATCGTTAAAAGATAATATATTAACGACCAATTTGTGGTGGTTGTTAAAGGTCAATGACAAACGTGTAATTCGTAGTTAATTTATAACGACCAACATCGTCGTAATATCCATTAATGACAAAGGCTATTGCAACGAACAGACCACAAACATTGTTCATCGTTAAAACTATTAACGACCAATATTTTGGCTTTTAACAACGAAATATTTCGTCGTTAAAAACCTTTTTTCTAGTAGATCAAAGTGCAAGGTGGAAGCTTTTATATAGTTTATAAGGCGAGGAATGGCTAGCTTCAAGAATTGGTGATTGCGCTCGCGTCCTGCGCTTGCATGGAAATATGGTGTTGAACCCACCGTAAACT